ATTAGTTTTACAGCATGTATACTTGGAACATCAAATAATTTTAAAAGAGACACATTATTGTGGAAGGAGGCTTTAAATGGTATACTCTTTCCAAAAGTGGATCAAAGATGACCCTGCATTCAGAATAAATTGCAAATTAATCTAATCAGTTTTCTCATGACTCTAATTTGATTTATATTTGGAAACAATGTATCCCAGAGTGAGAAAATACATTTTTTTAAAAATTAAACAGACATAGGTCTTAATGTAAGATTAATATTTTGTTTGTTTGCTTCTTATTTTTAGGAATAAGATGGTTAATACTGGAGGTCAATTAACCATATCATTTGTGTGGCAGGTGAACAGTTTTTTTACTTAATGGGCAGGGATGTCAAGAGAGTAAAAAGAGGTATTCAGATGCTTTAGTATGAAAACCTAGTTCATAGTCTTGCCTTGGTCAAGACACACTGTATGTTAAATCAAGGTATATAAGATTAGGCTGCCATAAAAGGGATTTTGAGGCTATAAATGTTAATCAAGCTAAGAGAAACAAGGAGGGAAATTTTTTAAGGATCCATCTTCTCTTCATAAACATAATGGCAGTAAAACTAATATATGTTGAAGGATTTTATAGGCAGGCTGAATTTCAAGCTCTGGAAATAAGTTACATACAGGTTTCTTTAATATCTCTAGAGTTCAAATTTAGACTAAGGAAGGTACAGCCTTCCGATTTATATATCTAAAATGCCCCTGATTGTGTAAACATTAGCAATTTTGTCAACAAAATCAAATTTAAAAACACTTAAATTTCCCACTGGAATTTAAATGCCTTTTGTATAATTGAACACACGTAATTTTAGAAGCACGTTAAGAATGGAAAAATCACCTAGCTTGACGGACAGACTTATAAGCACTTAAGTGTTTGAAATATATTTTAGCTCCTTTTCTTGTTCTTTTTAATAAGTTCTCATTGGGAAAGTGATCTCAGAAGTTTAGCAATTATTTCAAATAATAATATTTCTTAAGGCCATGAGAGAATTCTATCAAGCTACAGAATTATAGAATCAGGATATCAACATTCTGTCTTGTACGGTTAATTCTACTTAATAATTCTATTGTTACTGAATAGGTCTGACTAGATCTTCATGCTTGTAAAACACACAGCAGACTTTATTAAGTGAACTTTTACAAATCTGGCCTCCCTTTTGATTTTAAACATTCATAAAGCATTTGCTAATCTAGTCTAGAAAGGAGGTCCGCAGTCCCAGGAAGACTGTGCTTTGATGGAGCTTTTACTTGTACCTTAAAAAATTGATGTGAAAATACACAGGTCACACCTGGGTGTACACTAATTCAGAAAGAACTGTTCATAAAACAGACAAAAGATCATGCTATTTCCCTTGCCATATCTATTTTACAACCATTGTGTGGCAGAGGTGATTTGTTTCCATCCACAAAGCAAGGGATAGGTGGAAAAGTGTACAACACAAAGAAAAGTTGTTCACATTAAGCATTTTCTAATGCATGTAATCTGTATTGGAACAATTTAATACTTTCAAATTCATTCAAAATTACTTTGGGTTTGAATATAAGATAAATATATTTTCTGCACAGCCATACTATTCAATCCAAAGCTTTAAATTCTGGCTTTCTCAGAAATACAGCTCAAACAATCTTCATTTAAATACCTGGGTATTATATGATAAAAGAAGGGAGTCAATTAGTATGTAGGAATTACAATCCACTCTTGAGGCAAGTAAAAAAAAAACCCATTAAATGGCAAAGATTAAAGTTATCTTGAGAGACAATGGCAAAGATTAAAGTTTGCTTGAGAGAATACCTTCGGTTAAAATAATGATTTTATCCTGTTTTGTTTTCTTATTTCTATATTTTCTGGCTCACTCCTTGGAATGCAGACAGTGAAAATTTATGTTAGAAAAAATTAACAAGGCAAGAAGCTTAGATTTTCAAGCTGGACAAAGTAAAGGAAATGTAAGGAACTGAGAGGAAAGTGATCTTTAACTCTTCAGGTGTTCTGTAATTAATGAACTATCTATGAGCTATCTGCTATATACGAACTATGATAAAAAAAATCAAACCTCCCCAAACAAAATCCCTTCTCACCCCTATGAACATTATAAGTCTCCCTCAATCTTGGGTCCTCTACCAGAGGCCTGGGAGTTTAAAGGATTTGTGCAATATCTTAGCTGTTCCTAGCACTGCACTCTTCTGGACAGAAAGCTCTGATGTTGTCCTTGGGAGCTGTTGGAGCCACTCACCCAGCTTAGGAGTCACAGCCCTGAGTGGCTCCTATCACCGTTGGGTCCATTTTGCCCTTTACTAACCCTTGTTCAAGTTCTGTTATAGTCTCTGCCTAACCTAAGGCCTGTAAAACCACAAGATATTATCCACAGTGTTTCAGTTATGGACCTATCGTTTGGCAGTGTCTCTGCAACTGAAGTGTGCTCTGATTGCCAGACTGAAGTCATTAAACCTGGAATGGAGACCTAATTCCATGCAATCTTTAGCATCACCTGAATCTTCAGCTCTCTCTGGAAAACTTTATATGTACATGTATATGTACATATTTTAGGAAGATCAAAGAGAATGTGATATAGAAAGAAAGAACTATACAATTCAGCAGATGCCATTAATGTCTGGTTCTTTCTTCATTTACTATCAGGTCCCACCTTTTCTAGGGAAACATAAGAACACAACAAGAAATAGTTTGGAAGAGAAATCCACAGCTGAAAAGCAGTGACTGAGAATACTTCTCTGCATAGCCTTTTCCTCTGAAAGTAGAAAAATCAATAATATAATCTCAAAAGAACAGACTTGACCAATCTCAGAGAAGCTCATGATCATAGCAGATTTACAACTTGTTCTACGTTTCTATGGAGTTCTACGTGCACATGTAAACGACACAGTCAAACAGCAAAAACTTGATTCAAGAATACAGCTTGAGAAGCAATGTAGCAAAGCCTGGCACTTTTGAGACAACGTAATATTTTAGTGTAGCAGCAGTAATCTGATTTCTTAGACTATGATAACTTACTTGCGGTGCTAGGTAATGTAATTCTCAAAATGCCACACATGGGATATTACTTCAATTCAGACACTTTTCCTTTTTCCTGTTAATATTTTGACTTTTGTAAAACTGCAAACCTGTAATGCACTTCTTCCCTGAGCTTCTTTGATGCTATTGTTACATGAATAGCGGACTTATTTGTGGTAATTTGATTCACAATTTTCAAATTGGTAATTATTTTTCTTGTTGACGACCCTGTCTTGGATGTTCAATACATTTAAAGGAACTGCACAATTTATCTTCTCCAAACAGACAGGTTTTTCCTCATTAGTGGACTAACAGCATTTTGACTAATTTGACTAATATTTGTTTAGTTTAAAATGGCAGTCTTCAAAAAAATTGCCTCTGAAATTGATCTCAGTGGATGTATGAATACCTTCCATTCAGCCGAGCTTCTTACAAAAGGTTCTTGAACAATGAATAACTTTATCTCTTCAGTAAAGTCTATGGTTTTTAAATGTCATGAATGATACAGAAATACAGTGCATGACAGGAACTTCCTGGACTATGAAAGGCAGAGATCAGAAGGCTTTTGATGGTATTCCCCAATGAGCAGTTAAGAAATGGAAGGACCTTTCCAAGGCAAAGCTAAAAGAAGAACCTCTAAGTCTTTGGCAAGCTTCTTTGTGGGAGGGCTGGACTTGTAAATACATTTTTTGATTCTTACTTCTTAAAAGACATAAAGTTGTATCAGGCTGCACACTACATTTGCCTTCCATTTAAGAGGTACAATTAACTTTGAGGAAAAAAAGATGTAACTGGAGAGCCATCTCTCCATTTAGCCTTGTAATAATATACTGTACCATGTGTATTTTGCCTTTCAACTGAAGTGGAAAAACAATGATGAAAGCTTAAGAAGTGTGTTAGGGTTGTGTATTTTCCCTTCTCCTAGTCAAGCAAAGACAGGATTTCCTTCACTTGCATTCTCAGCAACCAGTTGACCAACTTAATTTGGTTTGTTGCTTCATCTAACTTTCAAATGTTTTACAGAACAAATATTCTGACTCTATTCCAAGATGAAGACAGATGTTCAGGGCCTTGGGAGAGGATTAAAAGTTTCCTTGTCAAAGGACTATTCTCTGAGATATAAGCAAGAAGCTGATGATGACATGAGGTTTCAAAGCAACAAAAGATTCCTTGTTAACCCCATATCTATAGTTAGATACATTGGTGCATAGACTTTTGATGTGACAGATTCTGTCTCTCAGGACTCTTAGTTCATTACTGATCATTCTCTAATACTTCACACTTGTCCCCTCTTACAGTCTTATGTCCTGTCAGCCAATCTATTTTTGTTGACAGGACCTGAAAAATAGTAGACTTGTTTTCAGAAAAATACCCACTGATGGGATCCAAGCATGGAGGATCTCTATGGTTGCAACCTTTAATTAGGCAACTAAAAGGTGATTGAACACTAAGCACCCATCCACACTTGATCTCCCATTAACAAGAATGATTGGTAGAGAGGAACAAGAAAGGGAATCCATCATTCACTTTCCATCGCTCACTTTCACTCACAGCACTACTCATTGGCCTGATTATTGAGACAGAATAGGGTTTGGCAGTAAGGCTGCCACACTTTTCTGCCAATTCAAGGAACAGTGAATAGTATTTTAATATAGTCAAGTGACTATGCCCTCATTTCTTTATATTTTTTAAAGTACTCCACACTAACTGACCAACATCTAGGCATTTATACTTTGAATATTGACAAGACATTCATCCTTTGCCTTAAAAACGCAATGGCCAGTTGTTATAGGGTAATAAATTATTTTTCCCGCCACCAATAAAAAGCACCAGCTTAATCTGAGAAAATGTATAGCTAACCAATATTATTTTTAGAACATAATCAGCTGAAGTAGAAGATGAAGTAATAGTAGAAAGAAATGAAACCCACAAAAATAAAATAGGAAAAAAGCTTTGAGAGGCTTACTTCTGGTGGTCACCAAGGGCTCTTTGTCCAATAGATTTTAACAATGATTCCGGATGGACTGCTACCTTTGGTGATGTTTTGGGACTACTGTCAGAATCTCCACTTTCCTCATCTCCCATGGCTTTAATATAACTTCCACTTCTCATCCTTCTGCAGGGAATCTCCTCATCTTTACCACCAGCAGGGTAACCTCCCCATTCATCTTGAGGTACCTGGGACAGGTATTACAACAAGCACAAAACAGAAATAAATCTGACATTGCTGTTGGGCCCTTTAAACAATCTGTTACAAATAACAACTAAGTACTTGACATTGCCAAAAGGATAGATTTTACTTCAGCTATTAACTAAGTACAACATTCCAGTGATATTTGAATGCAGAAGATTGTTTACCAAATGATGTTCTGGTGTGGTAACCTATAGCAATTATTGCATGCTTTGCACTTTGTGGTGTACCACTGTTTACTTAATATTTATTGAGGAAAGCACAATTAGCCACAAGACATAAACCTCGATTTATATACAGCAATGACTAGGTTCACCCAACACAAATCAAAATCAAGCATGCAGTCAAAGTGAGTGAGGAAAAACTATCACCCTGATTCTTCAAGTGTCTTGAAAGAGGATGATTTCTGATCAAATTGATCAAATTAAAGCTGACATAGACAACAGCTGTAGTTGTATATCTACAGTCAGGTCCAGAAATATTGGGACATCGACACAATTCTAACATCTTTGGCTCTATACACCACCACAATGGAGTTGGAATGAAACAAACACAATGTGCGTTAACTGCAGACTGTCAGCTTTAATTTGAGGGTATGTACATCCAACTCAGGTGAACGGTGTAGGACTTACAGCAGTTTGCATATGTGCCTCCCACTTGTTAAGGGACCAAAAGTAATGGGACAGAATAATAATCATAAATCAAACTTTCCCTTCTTAATACTTGGTTGCAAATCCTTTGCAGTCAATCACAGCCTGAAGTCTGGAACGCATAGACATCACCAGATGCTGGGTTTCATCCCTGGTGATGCTCTGCCAGGCCTCTACTGCAACTGTCTTCAGTTCCTGCTTGTTCTTGGGGCATTTTCCCTTCAGTTTTGTCTTCAGCAAGTGAAATGCATGCTCAATGGGATTCAGGTCATGTGATTGACTTGGCCATTGCATAACATTCCACTTCAAAAACTCTTTGGTTGCTTTTGCAGTATGCTTTGGGTCATTGTCCATCTGCACTGTGAAGTGCCATCCAATGAGTTCTGCAGCATTTGGCTGAATGTGAGCAGATAATATTGCCCAAAACACTTCAGAATTCATCTTGCTGCTTTTGTCAGCAGTCACATCATCAATAAATACAAGAGAACCAGTTCCATTGGCAGCCATACATGCCCACGCCATGACACTACCACCACCATGCTTCACTGATGAGGTGGTATGCTTAGGATCATGAGCAATTCCTTTCCTTCTCCATACTCTTCTCTTCCCATCACTCTGGTACAAGTTGATCTGGTCTCATCTGTCCATAGGATCTTGTTCCAGAACTGTGAAGGCTTTGTTAGATGTTGTTTGGCAAACTCTAATCTGGCCTTCCTGTTTTTGAAGCTCACCAATGGTTTACATCTTGTGGTGAACCCTCTGTATTCACTCTGGTGAAGTCTTCTCTTGATTGTTGACTTTGACACACATACACCTACCTCCTGGACAGTGTTCTTGATCTGGCCAACTGTTGTGAAGGGTGTTTTCTTCACCAGGGAAAGAATTCTTCGGTCATCCACCACACTTGTTTTCCATGGTCTCCCAGGTCTTTTGGTGTTGCTGAGCTCACTAATGCATTCCTTCTTTTTGAGAATGTTTCAAACAGTTGTTTTGGCCACGCCTAATGTTCTTGCTATCTCTCTGATGGGTTTGTTTTGTTTCTTCAGCCTAATGATGGCTTGCTTCACTGATAGTGACAGCTCTTTGGATCTCATCTTGAGAGTTGACAGCAACAGATTCCAAATGCAAATAGCACACTTGAAATGAACTCTGGGCCTTTTATCTGCACATTGTAATTGGGGTAATGAGGGAATATCACACACCTGGCCGTGGAACAGCTGAGAAGCCAATTATCCCATTACTTTTGGTCCCTTAACAAGTGGGAGGCACATATACAAACTGCTGTAAGTCCTACACCGTTCACCTGAGTTGGATATACATACCCTCAAATTAAAGCTGAGAGTCTGCAGTTAACGCACATTGTGTTTGTTTCATTCCAACTCCATTGTGGTGGTGTATAGAGCCAAATATGTTAGAATTGTGTCGATGTCCCAATATTTCTGGACCTGACTGTATCTTAAAATCATTGATAACCAGTATTAACTATGAAAAAAAGATAACTAAGTATTTGCTAAAGAATGGGGTATGATGTTAGTTCTACACAACAGGCTGAAAAAAGAAGACCAACTTGTGATAGAAACTTCTGAAACACCTGACTGATTTAGCAGAAATCCAAATAAGCCTGATGTAATAGCTCTGGAAATCTAAATTTGCAACCTGGTAATCAAATGAAACATTTATATCATTCAGATAATAACACCTCCAAATAAATTGAAGTTTTACAACAGAATATCAAACATTGTTAAATGTACCATGGACCTATATTGCTATATACAACACTTTGTCCATGCATATAACTAATGTTTAATTGTTCCAATTTAGCTTTTGGCTCTGAATTTTGGCAAGGCCTTAATCCAATACTTAGTTCTAGTCTCTAACTGGTTCTGGCCTCAGTTAAACACTTGTTCTTTGCTGTTTTCTAACATGTATACCTACACACACACATACTATATACATACAGTTATACAACTATTACTAAAATCAGCGGTTACAAAACCGAGCTGTAGAATTATGAAGGCAATTACAATATTAGTATGACTAACAATATAATCCTGGATTTAGGAGAACAGTGAAAAGTGACAAAAAAGACAAAATAAAAAAATGTTTACATGGCTTTATATTATATTATTTGGCCTTCAGTGCTATTGTTTCATAATTATGGACATTTTCTTTTCCCTGTCTTACTGTTTAATTCATAACTAGAATTGTTTTGGACATGGAATGTAGAGGAGAAGGCTCACATTCAGGCTTAGATATATATAGAACATACACATGCAAAAAAAAGTACGTGTAAAAATTTTGTAGCTGCTGTTGAAAATTTTGTATTTTTGATTTTTAATAAAGAACGAAGCTCAGAAACATCTTCACCTTATGCTTTCAGAGGCTTTGTTTTCACTGTACAAGTTGTATGTTGTTTGGGTATATGAGCCTAATTTCCTCCCTCCTCACCGTATTAAATATTTCCTGCTGTAAATGACATGTAAGAGGCAGCTTGGGGTAGTGGTCAAGGCACCAGGCTAGACTTTGGGAGACTGTTCTGGTCCCACCTTAGGCATGAAGCCAGTCAGGTTACTTTGGGCCAGTCACTCTCTCGGCCCTAGGAAGGAGTCAATGGTAAACTACTTCTAGGAAAAAAAAAACTTTGCCAAGAAAACTGCTGGGACTCATTGTAACAGTCACCAGGAGTCAAGAAGGACTAGAAGCAAACCCTTCTGCTCCCAAAAAATAGTTGTATAAAGAATACCACTGATGTCTGTCCATGTTAGTTTATTGAGGCTTATATGCAGAGCATTTTATATACCCTTCTGATAATAAAAGGGCTAAAATTCAAAAACAGCATAATAAAAATGAAAACTAGTAACGAAAAACTTACTAAGAAAGAATCTAAGGCCATTAAGAGCACAAATAACGAAATGCAAGGCATTTAACCTACATTAGATCCTTTCCCAGATCTTGCAGAAAAACCCAGGTTACAACATTGTCATAGGCTTACAATATTACTTGACAAGATATTATTGTGCTTTTAAGCAAACAAAACAGCTGTAAATGAAGCAAGACAGAAGAAGCCGGATTGATGTTGCAAATTAATTGAGGCAATTATTTTATAGCATCCTACTTTTCTACAAAGATTCCCCTGAAACCATAGCTTCCCTTGATTTTCCTTAATGGCCTTTCTGCAACGCCTTTATTCGCTAGTTGCTCTCTTCCGGAACCATTTCCCATAATCCACATTTGAGAGTTTTCTCTTCCTAGATCAACTGTTCTATCCATGAGAAGATACAACAGGTAGTTCTTGACTTACGACCACAACTGAACACAAGATTTCCATTGCTAAGTATGGACGTTACTTTTGTTAGGAAGTACAGTTGTTAAGTGAGTTTTGCCCCATTTTATGACCTTCTTTGCCACAGTTATTAAGTGAATCACTGCAATTCTTAAGTTAGTAACATGGTTGTTACATGAATCTCGCTTCCCCGTTGACTTTGCTTGTCAGAAGCTCTCAAAAAGTGATCATGTGACCACGGGACACTGCAACTGTCATAAAAACCGGCAGTTGCTAAGTGCCTGAATTTTGATCACATGACCATAGGGATGCTGCAACACTCTTAAGTTTGAAAAACAGACATAAGTCACTTTTTTCAATGCCTTTGCAACTTTGAACAAATGGTTGTAAGTCAAGAACTACCTGTATATGGAGTAAAAAGCAAAATAATACAAAAATGCCAGAGAAACCATTTCATCAATCATTATTTTATGGAAGCCTCACAAGAAACATTTATAAGACTGTGTTTTGTAAGACTCTTACAGAAAGGATTGCATGATGGGGGGAGCAGATGGTGAGAAAGAAATGGAGTAGCTTTAAAAAGTGTGAATTACTTGACATGTAAACTGAGTGTTTGAAAAAACAAGAATTCCAGATGTGAATCGCATTTCTCTAAATTAAATGTTATGGTTTCCACTTATTTTATTGGTTCTGTTCTCGATAATTATATATTGCAACGACTGTCTGTGGACTCTGGCACATGATAAAGATTGTTAAAATACAGCTGTACTGATATATTTAGAAACTACTTGATTTCTTGCGTGCACTCTCCTGAACCAAGAAGCAATGTTACATAAAATGACAGAATTTTGAGTTAACGTGTACAGGTGAAGGCATTCTAAAATCTGTAAGAATTAAAAAGAATGTAAAGGAAAAAAGGGGGAGGGAAATCATGAGAAAATGGCAGTTTACAAAACAAATCACATCATCATGTTGTTTTACTTATCTCAGGACAGAGGTGAACAGATTGAGAAAGTCTGCCTCTATTTGTTTTGACAAGATACAAAGGGGGAAAAAGCTTATCCAATTAAAACAACAACAAAAATTGCCGCAAGCTTAAGTAACAACTTAAAGTAATAGAGTGATATGTAGAATAGGCTTCTTACAACCTGATTAAAAGCTGATCAAAGTCTGCCTTGAATGTTTAACAGAAAGCGGAAAAATCCAGAGGAAATGCCAAAAAGGCCTAAAAAAGGGAAGAGAGGATTGCTTTCTGCAGACCTTTCATTTGGAAAGCATGAAAAACAATTCTTTGAAGTGAAATTTCAATTTAGCTCTTAAAGATGTACCATTTTAGTTTGTAGCTTTTCTTCTGTAGCTTAATTCTGATAACTTTTGTTCCACAAACGGAAATAAAAATTCCAGCTTCTCTCAAATTGTGGTTCTTTGTTTCATATAGCCAGTTGCACAAGGAAGCATTTTCATCTTGGATTTATTTCTCTGTGTCATTTCAATTGGTAGTAAAACCCCATATGTATGCACAGAAAATCATCAAAATGCTTTTGCTGCTTGTTCAAATAGTTACTGAAGCCTGAATTTTCCATCTGTACCGTTTGTATCGGCTGAGAATCAGTACTCTAATGCCTTATTATAAATGTTGATATTTTTTAGAAGCCTTTTCTTGAATTAGATAGTTAATCCTTGTACACACATTGCTTAATGCATCAAGCAATTTTTATATTCTAAATTTAGAATGTGGCAGAAGATTTAACTGAATCAGTGTGGTTGCGTTCCTTATTTGCAAGTGTATGGCTAATTACCAGCTGTATTCTATAGGTAATTTATGTCCCATGCCATCTCTCTATGCATTACTTCTACATTTTCATGTAATATGCATTTACCCTGTGTTCAGAATTGTTGGTCCTGTTGAGAAGCAAACTACATTGAGAAGAACTCCAGGAAAATAGTTTCTGTTTCTTCACAAGGATTTCAGTCACCATGTTCCCAACAAGGTATGGAAATATGTTTAAAGACCATGGGATCTATATCATAGCATGCCATCCTATCCCCAATTTCCTCACAACAGGTCTCTGACCTTGCTAATTTGTTTGGTGTACAATCAAGTTTCTCTCCTTTTTCTTTCTCAATTAGATTTAAAAAGCCACCCAACCAAGCAAAATGACTCTGGGTGGTGTACTCAAATAATCTTGTTTACCTCTTGCCATTCCAGAAGGCCTTGCAAACCTGGTTGTTCTCCCTGGTCTTGGACTAGGTTGTATATGCTCCCCACCCCCGTTACATGTATTCAGATAGATAGATAGATAGATAGATAGATAGATAGATAGATAGATAGACAGACAGACAGACAGACAGCAGACAGACAGACAGATAGTTGAAAATGTAGGTAGATAGATGATAGATAGATAGATAGATAGATAGATAGATAGATAGATGAAATGTAGGTAGATAGATGATAGATAGATAGATAGATAGATAGATAGATGATAGATAGATGATAGATGATGATATGTAGATAAATAGACAGACAGACAGACAGACAGACAGACAGACAGACAGACAGTTAGATAGATAGATAGATAGATTAGATAGACAGACAGACAGACAGACAGACAGACAGACAGACAGATAGATGATATGTAGGTAGATAGATGATAGATAGATGATAGATGATAGATAGATGATAGATAGATAGATAGATAGATAGATAGATAGATAGATAGATAGGATGGATTCCATTGTCTAGACGGGCATTATTTTGTTTATTCATATATTATTGTCTAGGTTTTATATTGTTTGTTTTATATTGTGAGCCACCCAGAATCATTTTGGAGTTGAATGGTGCCTAAATCTAATTAAATAATGGGAGCTAGCATGCTGCAAAACAAAGCACTAACCTCCTGAATCATCCTTCTTTTGCAGAAGGCCATCACTGCCTTAAGACCTCTACAAGAGCTCTTAGAGTTGATACATGGCAATTCAAAAGTCTTTCAAGACCTGCAGCAGCTACTAACGTCTGATGCTCTTCCATCAGATTGAGGCAGAGAACTTATTGGAAAATAAGCTAGCTATCAGTTGACGAGAATTAGGAATGGTGGCTGTCTGAAGTAGCTGCCAAAGGAAAAACTAAGCTTTTTACTCCAGGTTATCTGCAGCAAGTGTCAGTTAAAGTATAAGCCACTGGTTCATACTTCACACAAAGCCAAAAACAAATTGCAACTTGAGCTTTGTTATACAAGCACTGCGTGAATTAGATGCCAATCAGCATCTTTCAAAGTTAGCCCTGCATGATTGGTGGTCATAGCTACTCCATTCAGAGTGTTTGTGTCCCATTTGGTTAGTCCATAATTAAAGACCAGGAATAGAACCTATGGCCACCATCACTGCTATCTTATGCAAGCGCTGTTAACCAAAAAAAAAAAAAAAGAGGAAGCTCAGTGAAAGGTATCCGAGTTGCTTCTGAGAAGAGGTTAAGGCCGTAAAAGATAGATGGGACTGATGGTTATGTTTTACTTTCACCTAAAGCTTGTTATGGATGATTCATATAAAACCAGTTTCTTAGCTCTGCTTTGTGTTTTACTTCTAGGCGTAGATCACTGGTGGGTTTCAAATTTTTTTACTACCGGTTCTGTGGGTGTGGCTTGGTGGGCATGGCATGGCTTGGTGGGCGTGGCTTAGTGGGCGTGGCAGGGGAAGGATACTGTAAAATCTCCATTCCCACCCCACTCCAGGGGAAGGATAGTGTAAAATCTCCATTCCCATTCCACTCCAAGGGAAGGTTATTGCAAAATCCTCATTTCCTCCCAATCAGCTGGGACTTGGGAGACAGAGAATAGATGGGGGCGGGGCCAGTCAGAATTTTTACTACTGGTTCTCCGAACTACTCAAAATTTCTGCTACTGGTTCTCCAGAACTGGTCAGAACCTGCTGAAATCCACCTCTGGTGTAGATGAATCTTGGAAAAAAATAGTGGATTTTAACCAAAAAATTATGGGAAAGAACGCCTGTTAGAAAACTGCCTTGCAAATGTTAAAAGAGTATGCTGCTCTTCAATTAAGGATATTAGCAACATTTCACACTTACCTGAAGGTAATGGCATGGTCTCAGGGAGGGTTTTATTTCCTGATGAACTAGAGGCTTGTCTAGATTAAGAGACGACTTCCGATAAGCTTCTTTAGCTTGGCTTACTGTGAGGGTAGACCAAGAGCTCCTTTTCATGTACTTGCCATCCGGGGTCATTGCAAGACCTTCGCAAGCTGAACATTTCACATCATTGTTACTTTTTGAAGTCTTTAAGGAGAGATCCCCAAAATGTCCCTGAAGAGCTTCAGGATAGCAATGAGAGATATGGTCCACATTATGCCTGTTTACCACACTAGGTGTTCGGTAAGTGCTATCACTGTCCAAGTTGTCATCAGAGCTCCACCAGCTGCTCATTCCAGTTTTATGCTTACTTTCAGGCTTTCGCTCTTTGCTTTTACTTCTTTTGCTATGTTTAGAATGATGTCCATGATGATGGTCATCACCTCGGCCATCTCCCTTTGCCCCATTTACATTGCTCTTGGAAGAGCCTTCCAAAGAATGTGATTTTGTGAACAGTTTTTGGACTGAATGAACAAGGTGACGTATTCTACCTGGACTTTCACTGCGTTGTTCAGCTGCGGTGGATGTCCTTTGGTACTGCAAAGTGTGAAAGCCATCCCTGTGGAGAGGAAGTTGTTTCTCAAATTGATCCAGCAAATTTGCTGGGATCCGGTTAATCTTCGGGTTTGCATGAGACATGGTGCAATCGTCCCTAGTTTCGTAATGTGAGGTGTAGTGCATTCTGGGGAAAGTGCTACTGGACATATGATCACCCATAACCATGGGCATCATCATACATTCTGAATGGATGGAGCTTCGTGGTGAGCAGCGATGGTGATCCACTGGGCAACTCTCAGTTGGGCTGAGAAGATACGATTGCCTTGACTCCTGGCCATGATGAAGATGATCGTGGCTGTGTTCACAATCTTCAGGGGATGCTAAACCACAAGTATGCGCAGAACATAATTGTGATTGATTACGACTGCCAGATAATCCTTTCATGTTCCTTGAAACAGGAGAATATCTTTCCTCACTGAAGGACTGCTGGGTTGGAGACCATGAGTACAGCTGATCTGTTAGGGAATGGATAGAGATATATCTGTCAGCTAGGACAAGCATAACATATATTTAGACTAATACAAATTAAAGTTTAACAATAATTTTAAACATATAATACAAAGAAATACTAATATTTCATTGATGGTTAAATATTACGATGATGGCTATTTAACCATATTATGATTATGGTAGTTTAATATTAGTGCTAGTGTCCTTCACTGTTGTGATATTTAAATATTAGCTCTTACATTTATTATTTACTGCATTAGATTTAGATGGTTGCTTAACTAAAATTATCTGGGCGCTTACATAGTTAAAATAGGAGCCTGGATAGCTCAACAGACAGAAGCACTGCAATTTAACACCAGCTGTCTGCAATTAAAGTAAGATCGACTCTCGCCAGGCTCAAGGTTGACTCAGCCTTCCATCCTTTATAAGGTAGGTAAATTGAGGACCCAGTTTGTGGGGGCAATAAGCTGACTTTGTATAAATATACAAAAGTATGAAGGCTATTGCTTAACGCACTGTAAGCCGCCCTGAGTCTCCGGAGAAGGGCGGCATACAAATCAAATTTAAAAAAAAAAATAGAAGAAAGCAATAAAAATCATTTCAATGTGTTAAAAAAGAAAAAGAAAAACCACAGTTGTTGGGTAGTACAAGCAGGATGGTATAACTGTGTTCATGTCCTGCTTTGATCTGACCCAATATGATCTTTCTCACATTCATTCATTTGGTCTTATTGCCAAATATTAATCTACGATTAGATTTCATTTGGATAATTGCTTCAAGCAGTTTATATGTTTATGTATCATTCTGTATGGGACAAAACCTCGGGAGGCTATCAAAAGATGGAACACTTTTCCCCCTGAGATCTGGCAGGCTCCTAACCCCTTAGCCTTCCAGAAATCTTGAAGATCTGACTGGTTGGGGTTGAGTGAGAGTGGAGCCCAGCAAATGTGTTTGGGGACGTGCTGCTTTGGGGGGTGGGGGCACCAGAAACCTTTGTGGTTCTTTGTAAGTAGCCCAGCACTATAATGGCATGAGATAGGCAGTTCTAGAAGTCTAGAATCCGGTACTCTGTGTATATTGCTATACCTAGTGTTTAGTGACCATTTGAAGTTACAACAGCATTGAAAAAAGTGATTTATGACCATTTTTCACACTTACGACCATTGCAACCCTCTGGTCAAATTTCAGACACATGGCAATTAGCATGTATTTATGACGGTTGCAGTGTCCCAGGGCCATGGGTTCATCTTTTGCAACCTCCTGATAAGCAAAGTCAATGGGGAAGCCAGATCACATTCACTTAACTATGTTACTAGCAACCGCAGTGATTTATTTAATAACTGTGTTAAGAATGGTTATCAAATGAGTCACCAAATGGGGCAAACCTCACTTAACCACTATCTTGCTTAGCAACAGAAATTTTAGGCTCAATTGTGGTCGCAAGTTGAGGACTACATGTACAATGTCATGCGTGTTACTTTTGCTTTCACCTATTGGGAAAAAAGAACATTGGAAGATCTAAGGAACTGGTTAGAGACAGATTGTCATGAAGAGAATCTGCATAGTTGCTAAGAGTTGACCCCACATTCATGGCAAATAATAAAAAGGAAGAAGAGGGGGAGAAGGAGGAGGAGGAGTAAGAGGAGGAAACTAGATAGAGGAAGAACTAGAACTCCATAAACCACAATCTCAAATCCTTAAAGGATTAGACTCTGATGAATTGCATTCATTTCTCTAATTTAATTAGTACTATGCATGTCAGTTCATTTTTTTAAAAAAATAAAGATGAATCAATCAGCTATTTAAATATGGACACTTTCTCTGAAAGATTCCTGAGGAGGAGAAGGAAAAGGAGAAATTGGAGTCAGTTCAAATCCAGAAATTCTATCCAGAAATGATATTTCTATCATTACTTTTACTTTTTTACTTTACTTTATTTTGAATTTATATACCGCCCTACTCCCGAAGGATTCAGGGCGGTGAACAGCCAAAAGATAAAACACACATAATACAAAATTTAAAAACAATGTAAAAACACAATAAATAATTTGGCCCAAACAATTTAAAACATCCCTATTGTTTTAAAACAAATTTAAAATTAACAAATAAAAAGGAGGATAGGCTAGGCCAGCCTGTTGAAATAAAAAGGTCTTGAGGGCACGGCGGAAAGTGCGTAAGTCCGGGATCCTCCATATCTCCGGGGGGAGCTCGTTCCAGATGGCAGGTGCCCCCACAGAGAAGGCTCTCCCCCTGGGGGCCGCCAGTTGACACTGTTTGGCCGACGGCACCCTGTGGAGCCCCTCTCTATGGGAGCATACTGGCTGGTGAGAGGCTACTGGTGGCAGAAAGCGGTCTCGTAAGTACCCAGGTCCTAAGCCATGGAGTGCTCTAGAAGTGGTAACCAAGACCTTGAAGCGCACCCAGAAGACCACCGGGAGCCAGTGCAGCTCGCGCAGGAGAGGTGTTACATGGGAACTCCACGTTGCTCCCATAACCACCCGCGCAGCCGCATTCTGGACCAGTTGGAGCCTCCAGGTGCTCCTCAAGGGGAGCCCCATGTAGAGAGCATTACAGTAGTCCAGGTGGTAGGTGACGAGGGCATAAGTTCCTTACTTGACATGCGCAAGATGGCGACGCTACCCTGAATCTGCAGCCGACTTTGGGATGGATTCGGGTATTTTGGGATCTGTTGGGGCTTTTTTGTTATCTTAGCTCCAACCCCCGGTGATGGGAACTCTCCCCCAGCCTATTGAGGACATTTTCATCCCCCAGAACATCATGGCTGAGGAGAATTCGTGGAGATTAAGGGCTGCGGGATTGAAGGCACCAACGGCCGGTCACTCTGGCGTTTTTATGCCTGGGGCGGCGGCGGCGACAGCCGAACACAATGGCGGCCGAATTGGTGGTGGGACGATGCCGGCCAGAAGACCCTCGCCTGGCCTAGGGTTACCTCAGAGATCTGCGGAAATTCTGTGGGTGCCGGGGGCGTACTGGAGGCCCAGGTGTTTGCCGGCGTTGGTGAAGGTTATTCCGGCGAAATGGCAGCTGCTGGGTGAGGCTGGATGGGGCAGAAGAACAATGTTGGCGGAGGGGACAGAAGGGCGACGGTTAACATGCCCTGCAGCCATTTTAGAGACTAACAAACCACCAATGTGATCGGGGACTTGGAAGCTGCAGTATGGCTGAGCAGGTTAGTAAACTCTGGGAATTGGAGATGCTGGAGGAGGGCCTGTGGATTGGCTGCCTGGATGGTATCTCCTCCCCCCCTCTTTTTAGCCTGATTTGGGCTTTTTAGGTGACTGCCCGCAGATATTGTTTGTTACGAATTTATTTCCCCCTTCGTGGAAAATCCTCCTCCCATAGGACTATCATCGTAGGATTATCATCGATCAAGTGATGTTCTATTCTTACTGAACCCATGCACCGATGTGGCACCTTGCTTGGGGGGTGCCGCGGGGTCGGTCCTCTCACCCCTTCTGTTCAACATTTATGTGAAGCCACTGGGTGAGATCATCTGTGGTTTTGGGGTGAGAGTCCACCAGTATGCTGATGACACTCAGTTGTACATCTCCACCCCAGACCACCCCAATGATGCCCTTGATGTGATGTCCCGCTGCCTGGAGGCCGTGCGGGTCTGGATGGGGAGAAACAGGCTCCAACTCAACCCTTCCAAGACCGAGTGGGTGTGGCTTCCGGCATCCCGGAATAGTCAGCTGATGCCATCGCTGACTATTGAGGATGAATCTTTGCCCCCCACAGAGAGGGCTCGCAATCTGGGTGTCCTCCTGAATGCACGGCTGTCTTTAGAAGAGCACATGACGGCTGTGGCCAGGGGGGCTTTTTATCAGGTTCGCCTGATCCACCAGTTGCGTCCCTTTCTAGACTGGGATGCCCTACATATGGTCACTCACCCCTTGTCACCTCCCGGCTGGACTACTGTAATGCTCTCTACATGGGGCTCCCCTTGAAGAGCAGTCGGAGGCTCCAACTGGTCCAGAATGCGGCCGCGTGGGTGGTTATGCAACTCATTCCACAGCCACTCGGTCTTGGATGGGTTGAGCCTGAGTCTGTTTCTCCCCATCCAGATCCGCACAGCCGCCAGGCACTGGGACATCACTTCCAGGGCATCATTGGGGTGGTCCGGGGTGGAGATGTACAGCTGAGTATAATCAGCGTACTGATGGTACTTCACCCTGAAACCATGGATGATCTCACCCAGTGGCTTCACATAAATGTTGAACAGAAGGGGCGAGAGGACCGACCCCTGTGGCACCCCACATAAAAGGCGCCTCGGGGTCGACCTCTGCCCCCCTGCCAACACAGACTGCGACCGGTCAGAGAGAAAGGAGGAGAACCACCGCAACACAGTGCCCCCCACCCCTAACTCTTCCAACCGGTGCAACATGATACCATGGTCGATGGTATCAAAAGCCGCTGAGAGGTCTAATAGGACCAGGACAGAGGAACAACCCCTGTCCCGAGCCAACCAGAGATCATCAACCAACGCGACCAATGCCGTTTCCATGCATTACACAGCAAACATCCAGCTTCTTATCAATTATGGTTAGGTAGCAATGTTATTACTATCAACAGTTATTATCCATATTGGGTCCAATGAAATAGGATAGTTCTAGTATGTTTTATATATATTATATCTATTCTTGCACTCTTGCTAGCTAAGGCAGAAATATACTGCCAAAGCTGCAGATTCTGCTAATTTTTTTCATGGTTTTCATGGTAAATTATGTCTAATAAACAAAGAAGGGGATTCAAATTAAGTGTCCTATAAAACACCATTGTGTTAATAGCTTGATGAATTTCTTTGCTCAATGTTATTTAAGCTCTTGCAGCTGGGAAATTTTTGCAAACAAATCAAAGAAGTAGAAGAGAAGAGAAGAGTTTGATTTAGGTATTCAGAATCCTCAAATTCAGTTTATCACTTTTTCAAAAGGAGATGAGCATCTGAGCTGTTAAGAGAAGCTCTTTGCAGGATCAGCCGTACATT